GGAATCGTTTGAAGATGCCAAGGTAATTGAATCTCGATGCTCGCAGTCATCTGCATATCGATGTCTGGGAATTGAGATGTTCAATTTCTTGGGATTTTATATTGTTATTGGTTTTTGGGGGTGTAGGTGCTCGAGCCGTCGTTCCCGCCTCGGACGCCGACTAAGAGAAAGTACGGGATCTTTGTCCCCAGACAGACGAAGGGACGACTCCAGTAATGCTTCTGACGAAAATTCTTCTTGTGCTTCGGTACAATGTACGTTGTATTCTATTTAATTCTGGAATTCAATTATTGAAACTTTTTTATTAATTCAATTTCTTTTTCACGACGGGGAATTGGAGAATCAAAGCTTCAATTGACTATTTAGTTTTTTTTTAATTCAATTATTTGAACTTTGAAGCTGTGAATTTGGTAATTCATCTTGTATCATTTGGAAGTATTTTACGAATCTGAAAAAACAAAAAATCTGGCAGTTGAGGGAGATTGTTAAATTGAAGAATAGCAATTTTTAAGATTGCAATCTTTTTTTAGAAATAATTTAGAGACAATTATTTTTCACGAATGTAAAAAATATTTAACACTTTATGTAAGGTAGATGAAAATTGAACCATTTCCATCGTTTATTTATTTAAAAACAATCAACTCAGGTAATTAAAAAAAATGTAATTTAAACTGTTTTTAAAAGTTGAAAATTCATTCTTCATTGTGACTCATTAAAAGCATTTTGCAGATAGAAAAAAAAAAGAAAAATCTAGGCTTTAATGAAAATTTGCAAAAAGTTGAAAAATTGCAATTTGTTAAAATCATTGATTATTTTCATAAACAATTATCGTTCCACTCTGAAAATCATTATTTCACATAAAGTTTCTAGCAGTTAAAAAATTCCATCAGCTATTAATAAGAAAAAAAATTAAAAACAAAGTATTTTTTTTTCAAAACATAATTTAAATGCCATGAATTTTTCAAATCATTCCCGCGCAATTTAATTTCCAAAAGAAGCGTCCCTCATTGTCACTCATCGTCCGTTCCCCGACTGCACTACCAAATATAGCCATCCATCTGCGTTAATGTCAAGAGCACTCGACCCATAAAAACAAACATTTTGACCATTTGCTTTGCATATTATGTCCACAGTATCAAAATACCTGTGAGCTACGACGAGCAGTGAAGAACGTCATCATTGTGCAAGAGAACATCGTGGAAGAGATTTTTTTCGGCAGCATGTCTTCAACATTGAAAAATCAAATAAACATTGTAAAATTTTCCACTAGATTGATGAGCACCGAGTGGCCTTCTCATCAGCCTAGACCTAGAAAATCCACGAGCTCATCGCTCTCATACATATTTATTCAGATTCTAAATATAAAAAGCTGAGGAATTCTGTAAAATTGTCTAGAGTTGACCATCAAAACACTGGAATTTATTTCATTTATTTAATTAAAAAAATTTAATAAATACAATTTATCTCATTGAGTCGACGTGATTCGTCAGATTGCATGATTTATTTATGAAATAAAAACTGAGAAGCCACAAAAAAATGTCGTACTCCTTCTGAAAAAATTCATTAACTGCCAAACATGACCTCTCCAACATTCCTCCCCCAAATCATCGGCATTTCCAAGGCTTCAAATTACCATAACGGAAAAAAATGGCATTAAAATACACAAATGAACTCGGAGTGCCAATTGGATCCTGTTTCACGCGACTATACCCTGCTCACCAACAGCCTTGATGCGCGATTATAGTTCAACAATGTCTGCAAGGTGAACCAGTTGCATTGATCCTCTGGACTCCACCGGAAAATTACACCGAGAAAATTAAAATGTCAAGAACAAGAGTGGTCTGCGGCATTCAAACCCGAAAGGAGCACCAGAAAATTGAGAAATCCTGGGGAATTCGCTGATGCAGAATGCAACAACTGGAAGTGAACCGCGGTAACTGTTTTAAACCATCAAAACCCATCTCATTCCCCGTCTAATTCTAATTAAATCTATCACGATTGCCCTGGATTTTCTCGCAATCTCTCACTTCATCCCATCATTTTATCATTAACTTTCTCCAAGTTCATCTCTCGGATGTCCACAAGGCAAAAAAAATTTATCCTAAAATTACCACAAGTAATACCACGAGAGCTTCAAAATTATCGAGCAATTCCCGATAGATTCGTTGCAAACAAACGAAGGAGTCAAGTTTTTCAGGTTAAAAAATCACGAGTGCGAAGCACGAGTGATTTTTCCTGAAAAACTTGACGACTTCGTTTGTGTGCAGGGAACCTTGAGGGAATTACTCGATTAATTTTGAAGCTCGAGTAGTATTCGGGAGGGAATTTTCCTATCCAAATGTCGGCCAAAAGATTTGCACTGAGACAAAATCCATCTGACAGTTCCAACCAGGGGTTCACTCGACCACGGAATCTTTTGTTTTCCACAAATATAGTCAACATGAAAAATTACCAGTTGAATTATCAAAAATTATCAGCTGAATACCGTGTTGATTACATGAAATAACAGCCGAATAGTGCAATTCTATTGGCTGACACTTCGATGAGGAAAATTCCCAGTGAAATTTAGTAATTGTGCAAAGTGCCCTTTGACTTTTCAGGAATTTTTATCAAGAGTCCAATAAAATATACAATATTGTTATCAAATGTTTCCTTGAATTTTTTTCTAGAAATTAAAAAAAAAATTAGGGGAAAAAACATTTCGAGAAGTAAAAGTTTCTTAAGACTATGAAATACCTTTCAGTTTCATTAGAACATCCGAGATTTCCAATGATGAATAAGAATATAATTCAATGAATTATCGGTCTCATCCCTTTGAGAATCTGCATTCTGTAGATAATTTCCCATCCTCTAGCGACGATAGATTATCCGATCAAAAAATCTGATCTGATGCAGAAAATTTTGGTAATACTTTGTTCATGTTTCGCTCAAGATTTGAAAGACGCAGCATGGACATGTAGATATTTTGGCTCTGCTTTCAACAACTAAACATTTAACTCAAGATGCTGATCATTCGCGGGGAGAGCCTGCCACTTCAGGATGAGAATATCTCTCACAAATTGAAGCTGAATGAAAAATATTTCGTTCGAATTTACGGAGTTGCTATCACATCGCCATTGTTATTCTATTTAAAAATTCATTTCTTGTATTTGAGTATTGAATAGCCGGAACGACAAACAAATAGCAATNTTCGTTTGTGTGCAGGGAACCTTGAGGGAATTACTCGATTAATTTTGAAGCTCGAGTAGTATTCGGGAGGGAATTTTCCTATCCAAATGTCGGCCAAAAGATTTGCACTGAGACAAAATCCATCTGACAGTTCCAACCAGGGGTTCACTCGACCACGGAATCTTTTGTTTTCCACAAATATAGTCAACATGAAAAATTACCAGTTGAATTATCAAAAATTATCAGCTGAATACCTTGTTGATTACATGAAATAACAGCCGAATAGTGCAATTCTATTGGCTGACACTTCGATGAGGAAAATTCCCAGTGAAATTTAGTAATTGTGCAAAGTGCCCTTTGACTTTTCAGAAATTTTTATCAAGAGTCCAATAAAATATACAATATTGTTATCAAATGTTTCCTTGAATTTTTTTCTAGAAATTAAAAAAAAAATTAGGGGAAAAAACATTTCGAGAAGTAAAAGTTTCTTAAGACTATGAAATACCTTTCAGTTTCATTAGAACATCCGAGATTTCCAATGATGAATAAGAATATAATTCAATGAATTATCGGTCTCATCCCTTTGAGAATCTGCATTCTGTAGATAATTTCCCATCCTCTAGCGACGATAGATTATCCGATCAAAAAATCTGATCTGATGCAGAAAATTTTGGTAATACTTTGTTCATGTTTCGCTCAAGATTTGAAAGACGCAGCATGGACATGTAGATATTTTGGCTCTGCTTTCAACAACTAAACATTTGACTCAAGATGCTGATCATTCGCGGGGAGAGCCTGCCACTTCAGGATGAGAATATCTCTCACAAATTGAATTGAAATTGAATGAAAAATATTTCGTTCGAAGTTACAGAGTTGCTATCACATCGTCATTGTTATTCTATTCAAAAATTCATTTCTTGTATTTGAGTATTGAATAGCCGAAACGACAAATAAATAGCAATATCGTTAGATCATTCATACAAATTTCTCGAGGCAAAAATGTAGCTATTCGGTCCTTGTTTCGCATTGAGAATTCGTCAAACCAGAATTTTGAGACTTATTAATCATCAAATGAGCCTTGTTCGAGGATATTTTTTTTTCCTATCAGTCTATGCACCGCTATTCAATCAATTATACTAGGATACTTTCTCAAATTGCACAAAATTGCCATCAATTCTACAGCCGTAAAACCGCATGCGGAACAGAAAATATCATTTTCAGAACAACCCAGTACATTTTTCCAACGGATTCTGTCCTTTGGCTCAAGTCTCCGCCAATTTTTTCGGTATCAGTAAATTTCCTCGATGACATCTCCTTCTCCATCACAGTATTATTGAAAAACTGCAGAACCAGGTTTTGAATCATAATATGAAAAAACGCATTAGCTCATGGTAAACCGACGCACGTACAGACCATCGAGGTTCTACCTGTACTTTCACTGATCTCGGTCCTCCACCAGTAGTGAACTCGACGCCCGGCGCAATTTTCGAGCTGTTCACAGTCAATCCGCAGAGCCAGTACGGTTCACTTCTCCTCACGTTCTCCACTGTTGTTTTCATAAAAATCCATGAGTAAGGAGTTTCAATTCTGTGTTTATCAACTTCTCTCCCAACTGTCTCGTTCCATTCTCCTCTGTTCTGGCCTGTTCAGTCGTATTTGCCCTCTGTCACCACAATTTTTCGCCTCTCGCGGAACCCTTGACCCTCGCGCTTACGTATGCGCACATTAATGAGCATTGAGGCTCTTTACGTCACCAGCCGGCACTGTTTTGTATTTTTCGTATTGTTTTTTCTCTCGCGCGGAGGAACGACACCGACGCGCATATCAGTGTCAACTGACAGTCGTAATCGCTGACAAATTGGGAACAGGTGGCACCAATCCGGGAAACTCTTCCTCGCGAGAGGACTCAATGGGAAATTAAAGCATTCGGTAAATCCCTTCCTGTTTGATCGAGCGAACAGGCGATTTCTATCGGATTTTTACCGCATCGGACGTTAGTTCCATTTTTTTGAGCGCTTGAGGAGTCTTTGGTAATAGACCTGGTAAGTTCCTCATGTTTTTAGCGATCGAATACTGAGGAGCCTCGGCATGCTCGATCGTGAAGGTGTAGTCGCGATGAAAGTGCGAAACTGGGAAGAGAGCGAAAGTGCAGTCTGTGCGGGCTTTGAAGTGTTTTGGATTGAAGGCTACTGCAATCTACTCTGTGAGAGAAAAAATAAAAGTTCGTTGTGGATTTCAAACGCGTTTTAACACTTCAGGCAGGTGAAAGTAACGGGAGTATTTAGTTTTCGCAATATCTATTGCAATTTTTTTAAAGTTTTCAAAATTTCCAACTGTGCAATTTTTTGAGCGGTTTAAGCCGTGGGTTTACTCTGCTGAAGAATAGTAATCAAAATACAAAACGAAAGAATAATTGTTTACATCAATATCTCGTACATTTACTTTATTTTTTTTAAGAGTAAATTAATAGCCATAATTACGCTAATTGCGCAATTTATCATTTTTCTTTCGATTAAATCGATTAAATACATTCATTATTTATCGTGATTTGTCAGCTCAATTTCTGACAATAGCAACTGTTAAACTATTAATCGGTAATTATTTAATTAATGTCAAATAATGAAACATGAAAACCATGTAAACAAAATATAAATCTAATTTTATTAAATTATTTACTCTGAAAATAAATTAGTGACGCAAATTCGTGATATCTGATCGGCGATTCATCCAAAATAATCAACAAAATTACAAAATTTAATGTGAAAGTTAGTTTCACCTGAATTTGCTCGTTCCGCAAATAATAAGGTACCACCATACCGTTATAATTTATTTCCGCGAATGGAATGACTCGCAGTGTGGCAAGCATAATGCGGAATGAGAACAGTTTGCGAATGACACAAACAATGGGTTTTTACTTTCGAAAAGGGTTACAAGGACTGAGAGGACAATTTTATAAAATAACACTGAAATTAATAAAATATCGAAATATTATAATATCTTTCACATTACCCCATTTTTCTTCTAGTTTTATTTTCAATATAATTGAATATAATATAATTATATTATATTAATATAATTATATTATTTTCAATATAATTGAAAATAAAACAATATATTGAAAATAAAACTAAATGTGAAATGGGGTAATGTAAAAGAATAATTCTAAAAATATTTTATTTGAATCGAAGAAATTCTATTCGAACTTCATTACGTGGATTTTTCATTATACTAAATGAGTGATTTTTTCAATGAAAAAAATTGTTTATGTAATTTAAGTAAAGACTGGATTACAGAAGAGACAAAAATTTTAAAGGACAAATTATTAATTTTAGAGCGTGAGTAGTTTTGTTAGCAGAAGACAATGGAACAATATGAAGAAATATACCTAAAGAAATTTAATTTGAATTAAACATACTAATGAAAATTTTAATCAACATTTTCATTCACATCAATCGAATGGCTTTTTACTCCAAAAAATGTTCATCTAATTCAACTAAAGCCCTAATTACACTGATAGAATGATTCATTTATTCCAAACGAGATTCGTTAACTATTAACAAATAGTAGAGTTGAATATGACCAAATGAATATTCGTTAATAGTTAACGAATGGTTCACTTGAATGGCGAAAGTCAAGTCAAACAAGGCTCCTCAAATGTACATTCGTTAACTATTAACGAATGAACATTTGGTGGGACCGAATAGACCCTAACCTCCAACCAAAATCCATTCGTTAACAATAACTAATCCGTTCTATCAGTGTACGGAAGCCTGAGACGATAACCTCGAGAAACAAAATATTAATTTCAGAGTGATTGAGAGATCATCAAATATGGTGGTTGACACTGGAACCGTCCGTCTGGTCATTTTCATCGGAATGTTTTTGGTCTTCGCTGGGGATTACACAACTCTCATAAATTCGGTTTTCGGGAATGGAATGGTATCAGGGAATTCCACATTTGTGGGTCTTCAGGAGGCTAAAGATGGGCATGCTGAGAGGCTGGCCATGATGGCAGGCGTGAGGGATGACGCCGAAGATAGTGAGACAATTCGTTCCTTTTTTTCTAATTTGTGAAATATCAGTGTTGATCAGTAGTCAAGGCACGAGTCAGCTGGATTAGTCAATTCCCCGGTGCTCAAGGCTCACACGTGCCTAAATTACAAGGATCAAATAAATTCAAAGTATTTGATTCACTTGAAGTGGAGAAACAGCTCACGTCATTTCAAAAACATAAATTAAATCATTCTTTAAACAAATTGAATGAAATTTCCTTGAATTCCGTCCAATTTCAATCCCTTAAATTCACCTTTAGCTTCACTGATTGAATTATTTCATTAAAATATACACTTTTTATCATTAATTTCAACTTTAGGTGCAACGAGAAAAGCGAAGATGATGGCAACAATAAAAAATGCGTGTTTACCGAAATTAATCTGCGAATTAACGTCTTCGCCCTATCAAGATCAGCTGAGCGAAATGGAGAAGTCACTGTTGAATTTAATCAGGTAAATTCATCTGTTGTTCCCTTGAATAAAGTCTCCGTGGGACTGGTGAATCCCCGGAAGTAGAAACTAATTAGTCTATCTCATTCGACTCGACGAATTTTTAAAAACTCGAAGGCAAATGCGAAAAAACCCCCGGCCCTCGAATTTCCCTTGAGAGTCGTTTGGGCTCTTGTCATGCAGTTTACCAAGACCACTTTCAACTTCTCGGTGTGGTGCATTCACCGGGCACTTTCACGACTTTCGTTCGTAGACCCGTTGACTCGGAATAATGGTTTAGCATTTGCCCCCGACATTGCATATATTCCGCCTTGTTTTACAGGGACTGGGCGATATGAAAGTTGTAAATGATCGTCTCTAACAAAGTATAAAAAGTTTTTGGTCCTGCCTTTTTATGGGAACATTTTCGGGAATGTTTATGATCTCGTTGGGGAATTCTGTTGCTTGATTGGGTGAGGAGGAGGTGTAAACACTCGATTTTTGGGATTTTCTTAATTGCGAAGGAAATTCGTGGAAAATCCATGGGATTCGGGAGAAAATTCTGTTCGGTTTGTATTGCACTTGCTGTTTGTTTTTTTTTCTATGCGTTTTATTCGATAGAAATGTTCAATGAAAATATTCGAGTTATTCGATTGAGATATTTTTTAGAAATTCTCCGGCTCAAATTTTGTTTGATTTTAAAGGACTTCGTAATTGAAATCTAGGATTTCCTATAGATATTTGATAGGAAATTCTATTGGATTTCTATCAGTTTTTAAAAATGTTCAGTTGAGAAAATGCCGCAATTTATGTGGGTGTTTTTTTTTAATAAAAATGCGCAATGGGAAATATTCCATAGGAAAAAATCTATAGAATTCAAATTTTCTGCAGAATTTGTGCTGAGTCATTTTAATAGAAATTCCTCGCCTTAAATATTCAGTTTTTTGTCTAATTTTGTCAATAAAAAGGGGAGGGAAAATAGGGGCGGAAAAAACTTCAAAATACATATCGAGCGATTACTATAGACAATGCCTCCTCAATGGCTTCTCCTCAATAGAAAAAGTTATATGGAAGAATGAAATTCTGCTGATTTTTTCCACAAAATAGTTCCTGTTGGAATTTTCCAGAGAAAAACCGGGCAGTGAAGCTGCGGAATTCTTCAATACAATTGACTCAAACCTACGAACTTAATTCAATAGAAATCCAATAGAATTTTCCATTTTTTCTTAAACTTTCTAATATTTTTCGGCGGATTGAAAAATGAGAAAATTCATAACGAGCAATTTCTGCAGAAACTGTCTCAATACAATTTCTAATTTTTTTTCTAACATACACTGAGAGAACAAATTAGTTCTACCAAAAATTTATATTCTCACGTGAAACATATGTTTTTAGTGCAGCTTCTACTGGACATTTTTTATTTAAAAAATCCGCAGTAAAACTAACAGAATTTTCAGTAGAAATCCAACAGAACCGGATTCGCATTTTAATGATGATTCACGAGGGGCCGGATCGATCCCTAACACGATTATTTACCGATAAAAAAAACATCATTGTTTCATAATCGTGAATATGCTCGTGGCAGTCGCATTCCAATCCATTATTTACCTTTCGAACGAGTGACTCGGTGAAATTAATACGAAATAAAAATTCACAGAGTCGATTCAACTAAAGATTATTCGCTCCTTCGGGCACAAAAACCTCGTTATGAGCCCCATGATCTCCTGCAGATTAAAAAAACAAATATTAGAACCTTAATACAACAAACGTTTAGCCCCATCATTCAGTACTAATTTATGCTCCACTGCGAGGAAGACTCCTCCCACTATCATCGAATTAGTAGTATTCTCATTCTCCGGATGATGCCAATATCGGAGCGCCTGAGCAAGCATAACAAATGTGAAAGTGAAACCCCTAACAAAAAGTAATTATGCAATCAGTGGCCAGACTGTTCCCGAAAAATGTAACCCACCGGTTTCGTATTTACGATCGTGGTCTCTCACTTTTTGCATAACACACATAACGCGATGCCAATGGCCACTTTCATTTTCATAGATTATCCAATCCGATACTTTCTCCTCTTCTTCACGCAGAGTCAACACGTGATGACTCGGGTATTCTTGACCATCGTCGTTGTACGTTCACCTTCAAACATCGCAGAGATGTTCTGTTGGCATTTAAGGTTTTTATTATTTGAGAGTTTTCGAGTTGATTTTTTGCGTAATTTTCTCAACATGTTTCTTCTGGTGTTTTGACAATTTTCATTATTTATTTATTGGGAAGAAATGGTGGATAATTTTGTATAGGTAATGACGATTGTATTTGTTTCATTTTAAATTGGTTAATATAATTTAATTGCACAATTTGAGGATTAGAAAATTAAAAAAAAATTTTTTCAACATTTCTAATTAAACATCAGAGATTTCATCGCATTGCATTTTTGGTAGTTTCATTAGTCAAATTTTTCAAAGTCTGAATTTCAATGGTTTTCCATTTTGAATAGTCGGAAAGTATTTGAAAAATTAAAAAAAAGCGAATGCATGAAATAATTGGATATATGAACAAAACATGAACAAGATATTTTTATCGAAAAATTCGTTGCTCAATTTAATTGAAGAATTAGTGATTTGTTTTAAGTGTTTATTTGAAAGTTTTCAAGTTTTTTTGCGAAATTTTCTCAATATCTGTTTTTACTGCAGTGTGGACAATTCTTATTATTTGTTTATTTATTTATTAAGAAGAAATGTTGCAAAATGATGTTTAGGTAATGGCGGTTGTGTATGGTTCATTTTCAATTTTTTACTATAATTTAATTGCAAAATTTTCTAATTACAAAAAAAAATTTAGTCAAAATATTTTTTAGTTTGAAAAAAATTCTAAAGTTTACGCTTTCCACAAAATTTATAAAATAAATTACATATTAATTTCGCATTTTCGTTAATCTCATTATTCAAGCATTTTCCATTTTCAACAGTCGTAAAGCCTTTGAAATATCTAAAAAAATGCATGAAACAATTGAAAAAGTGAACACAACATAAACAACTCATTTAAAAAAAAAAATTCCTCGCTCAATTTAATTGGAGAATTAGTGAATATTCTCGGGAGAATCGAGCGGAAGAATGAAATGTCGAGCATTGTGAATTTAATGAGGAGCGAAGAGAATGGGTATAATCAAAAGAGTAATCACATTTAACAAGTCGTTGAAAACTTTTCGCAGACAACTTCAAAAGTAAAAGGCAACTCGCCTTGTCCCTGTTTCCGTCTCGAGTTCACATTGAATTCTTTACCCAAGTTTACCACCTTCGTTGAATCTATTGCAATAAACTCGGGGAATTACAGCAACTCGGTCATTCTTCCTTCTCGCTGGGGCGCATGATCTATTACGACAGTACAATACGAGAAATGCGATTATTAATCTTGAGAAGATTTGTCACGGGGTGTTACAGACAATTGCGGTGATTTTTTTATTATAAACAATATGCGGTAATATAAAAGAATGCATCTAGAAAAATTATATTGGAATTGAATCCAATTTATTGAAACATTTTATTTGCATTTTTATTCACATTAAATAAATGTTTTTTTGTTTTTAAACAAATGTTTCCTTTAGTTATTCATTCATTCATTTATCTATTCATTCATGTATTCAGTTATTTATTCATTTATTTATTGATTCAGTTTTATTCATTTTCATGGAATAATTGAATTGATCGATTTTTGCATAAAAAATTGAATTGAAAATCTCATTGCAGTCTTTTATCAATTACCAATGACATCTGAAATTTATTTTCACGTTTACAGAGACACAAGCCTAACAACAATGGCGGAAGTGGCCTCCAGATATCATTTCGCAGCGCATATGGGTCAACTAATCGCCGGAATCGAGGGTCAAGGTTGTCACAACTTTTATCCAACTTGTCCTCTACCCCGTTCCAGTGTACTCAATATGATGAAGAAGATCAGATTGCGTTGAATTGTCATGAATCCGAATATGTCGACCATTAAATCACAACTGTTATTATCAATTTCAAGTGATTCAGGAGAATAACGAGTGAGCCTCGAGAATTGCTTGACGTATCTGTGATATCATGCGAGATGCTATCCAATCGGAAATCGAAGGATTGAAGGACCGCAGCGAGGTTCAGTCTCCATTTTGTTGAAAAAAAATTAATTAAGGAGAATGGTGTCGAGGTTTATGTCTGCACGCACGAAAAAAATTCGTAGAAAAACTTTTTCTATTGATTTCTATTGAATATTATTGAGAATTCTATTAGTTTTTGGCCCATTCTATTGAAGAATTTCACAGCTTCAATGCGCGTTTTTAATATAAAATTTGAAATAGAAATTATTTTATAGAAATATCAGTAGAATTTCATTTTTATATGCAATTTTTTATGTTGAGACATTTTCTATAGGAATTTCTGAAATTAATTTCTCAAATTTTTCAATCTATTTTTCTTCTTCTTTCATAAAAAAAAAATCCAACAAAAAAATTCAGAAAATCTGAGTCGAGAAATTTCTATAGAAATTCTATAGAAAGTATCTTAATAGAATACGTTGTATAGAGGAATCGACTTCTATTGATTTTTTTCTGTACAATATTTTGAACATTGTACGATTTTCCAATAGAATTCCAATAGAATTTTATGGCGAATTCGCTAGATTTTTCTATAAAATTTATTCGTACGTGTTCGGACCGTTGTAAATACTCCAATGAATGACTCGGAGGCCTCCAGTTCATTCCAACAATCAGATCGCAATGATCAGATTAACTAGAATGACCCCAAATTTAATTGATTAAGAGTGAACATCGTTGGATTGATAAATCCGATGATGCGTTGAAATTATTTTTATTATTATTCACGACTGCTAGTTTTTTCTGTATTATTAGTGAGTAAACACGAGTGTTTTGCCTTTGATAATAAATTTCTTACTGAAATTTTGTTACTGAATGGGTGTTTATCATTATAATTTCCCCGTTTCACCATAAAAAATGGTAAAATAAGCCAAAAAGTCAGGGTGGCCATTGTATTTTACTATTTTTATTCATATTGCATTCAACAGTTTTTGCAGTTGAAGTAAATTCTTAATTTCCAAAGAATATATGGAAAACGAGTGATTTTGCCCGAAAATGCGGTCAGACATTTTTTCCAATCGACAGAATTATTTATATTTTTTCATTTCGGATGATCACAACTAATAAAAAAGAATTTGTATTGAGGATACCGGCACAAAAAGATCCTTGGATTTCAGAATTTTTCACTCGTTAAATGTCAGAATGTCCTTCCCTAAACATTTTTCCTCTGTGTGATTTTACGAGAAAATATAATTGAATATTGGTTACAGCAGGGGAAATTCTCCGCAGAAATGGTCTTTAACAATATTCAAGACGAAATAAATAGCTTTCCAGACAGATACACAGCCGTTTGAACAGAAGATTCGACTCACGAATTCATGGTACTTGACGATTCAGTAGTGAAGCGGTAAAACGCTTTAAGGATGTTCGACACCCTTTTAGCCAAAATTGACGTTGTTTTCATTTTTCTGGCAAATTATCGATGGGAGTGACGTGAAAAAATGTAACGATTTTGTGGTTTGTCATTCTTTAATGGCTCACGAAGTTGCGTAGTGGTGCGATAATTTTCATGCGTTTTTTCTACAGTTTTGTGATTCTTTTTAAAAGTTTAGAGAAAACGCAGGAAAATGTTCGCACCACCTTAAAATTTCGTCAGTCATTAAATAATGACAAAACGCAAAAACGTTATATTTTTTCACGTCAATTCCATCATAAGTTTGCCAGAAAAATTAAAACAACGTGAATTTTGGCAGAAAGGGTGTAGAACATCCTTAAGAAAGAAAACGGTTTAAGAAGTATCTCCGAATCTAAGGGAGATACCGAAATTTTGATAACGACCTTTTTTGTAGAGCGAATTTGCTGCTACAGAAAAGGTTAAGTTCAAAATTTCGCCATCTCCCTTAGATCCTGAGATATTCATCGAAAACTGGCGAATAGTCAAAATCGACTTGAACCATTTTACCGCTTCGCTACTGTATTGAACGCCCGAATCAAATGCCAGATGTCATTCTCCCGAATAAATCCATAAAATCCCGGCGCTGTACCGATGCTACCCTATCACATCACCGAATCACAATCACGTTTCCCTCAATACCATCCAATCCAACTGGTCTTATAACCCGTAATAGATGTCATGATCACCGAGAGACCCTCAGTTGAATTATCGTAGGTTCAAATCAATGTCAGAGTGTCTGCTATTTCATTTTCCCCCCCGGAAATTGAATGACCGACGATTTTCATCAGTTGTTAGTGATGCCCACAGTGGAATAGCTCCAACTCCTTGGAACCGAGTAAACTGTCCTTCATAATTGAGAAAGTTTGATGTACACGAGTTGTGTCTCGTGGAGGGTTGAAAAGACTTTTCTCTCCAATTTCGGGGATGAGGGTGAAATGTTTCGGTGGACATTTTGAAACATTTTGAGACTCGTCTGCGTGGCATTGGCACGCCAATGACTTTTCTTGGTCGTTCTTGCCGATAACAATGGGGAAAGGGGTTGGGAGGAACAACAACTGTAGCTGGATGTCATTAGGAATAACTGTGAATGCTGCGGAGCTCAACTCTAAGGAGCAAATGGGACGTGGAAAATTGCCGGGGATATCTTTCGGCGATGGCTTTGTTATCGTTTTTGTATTATTTTGGTTTTTTGTTCTGTTGAAGTTGTGATGCTCTTTTTCAGTATAGAATTTAATACTTTCGTGATTTTTAGGGAGTTTTTTTAAATTACATAGTGGTTATCTGATGATTAACGAATCATATGATATGATTTTTAGAATTAATAATGAGGTAATTCAATGAATTGTGGGTTTAATTATTTTGAAAATTTGATCTGATGCAGGAAATGTTGGTAATATTGTGTTCATGTTTCAACGACGAAACATTTGACTGCCACTTCAGGACGAGAATATCTCTCACAAAGTGAAGCTGAATGAAAAATATTTCGTTCGAAGTTGCAGAGTTGCTATCACATCGTCGTTGTTATTCTATTTGAAAATTTATTTCTTGTATTTGAGTATTGAATAGCCGAAACGACAAACAAATAGCAATCTCGTGGGATCATTCATACAAATCGAGCCAAAAAGGCAGTTGTTTGGTCCTTGTTTCGCATTGAGAATTCGTCAAACCAAAATTTTGAGACTTGGTAATCATCAAACGAGTCTTGTTGAAGGATATCTTTCTTTTTCTATCAATACATGAATAATAATACAATTCAATGAATCATGGGTCTCATCTCTTTGAGAATCTGCATTCTGCGGATAATTTCCCATCCTCTAGCGACGATAGATTATCCGATCAAAAAATCTGATCTGATGGAGACAATTTTGGTAATACTTTGTTCATGTTTCGCTCAAGATTTGAAAGACGGAGCATGAACATGTAGATATTTTGGCTCTGCTTTCAACAACTAAACATTTAACTCAAGATGCTGATCATTCGCGGGGAGAGTCTGCCACTTCAGGATGAAAATATCTCTCACAAAGTGACAATGAATGAAAAATATTTCGTTCGAAGTTACAGAGTTGCTATCACATCGTCATTGTTATTCTGTTTAAAAATTCATTTCTTGTATTTGAGTATTGAATAGCCGAAACGACAAACAAATAACAATCTCGTTGGATCATTCATACAAATTTCTCGAGCCAAAAATGTAGCTATTTGGTCCTTGTTTTGCATTAAGAATTCGTCAAAACTAAACTTTGAGACATAGTAATCATCAAATGTGGTTTGTTTAATAATGTTTACAACCGCAATATATTTTTTAATATCAAGACGATTCTAGTAGCAAAAACGTAAGTATGTGTCCTCATTTCCCATAAAACAAACATCTCTCGAGATCAAGAATCACCAAGTTCATCTTTTCTTCAATAATCAACATAAAATGTTTGAAACTTGGTAAACAATTTCCCAAGATTCCAAGAAATATCATCAGTCTACTCGTGAATACGATACGTATTACCTCCTAATCAAACAATCAAGATGGAAAGTGAATGCCACCATAACCATCATCATCACCATCATCTTATGAAATCCAAAGAAGTCTCCGGGCATAGCAATCAGGGATGTGACAATACTCCCAATACTCTGTTTTTCCGAGTGAACTGGGGCATGACGAATCGCACGCGGATATTTCCCAACAGGTTCTCCTCATGAAAGCAATCATAATATCCCGCCTCGTAAAATAATATCCCTGCAATATACACCGCACTAAGCCGAGAAAAAAAATTATTTCTGTCGGTTGAACTCATTTTCTTCAAATATATTTGTTTAAAAACTAACTTAAGCGGGGATTTTATGTGCATCGATTTTATGTGTAATCAATACATTTCTCTCTCATCATTTTACAGTAATATACGCAACTTAAATTTTGAAGATGAAAATCGGGAATAAATTCTAAATGGCCTCCCATCCAAAAATTTATTTAAAAAATATATAATATGGGCCAATTCCTTATATTTTTTAATATATTTTTCAAAATATAATTTTTTCCATCTGGGGAATAGACATGAATAAAAACATTGATAATAATTAATTTAAAAGTCTTATGAGAAAATGAATATTTCAAGATTAGAAAGAGCATTCAAATGTTGAGAAAATCTTTAAAAAAAATGTATGCATAAGACAAAAATTATCGTGAAACGATAAACAATTGTTTAAGAAAATGATTATAGAGAGAATTTGCTGGATTAATTTTTTTGCTCTCGTCAAAGCTAGCATTCACGTAAAAAATTATCAATGATGAATAATTTTTATTATTTATTTTTTCTCATTGCGCGAAACACTACGATGTTTTTTGTTTTCTTGACGCCGAGATCTACAAAAAATACGAAACAATGCCAATTAATTTTGCCATTTATTTTTCATTATTTTGACTTTTCACACGAAACACGAAACAAAAAATCGAATGAATCATAATTATTGAATTTGAATAGTTTTCCCTTAACTTCGTTTGATCAATCGGACGTGCCGCTTATCACGTCTTCTGCGGATTAATGTCGCAATTGTCAATTCGTACGTTTTGCTCCGTATAAATTCACCAGCATAACCCCCCAGTGGTCGGCGAGTGGGGCAAGCCCGAACACTTTCTCTCCTGGAAATGAGCGTGGTCAGAAACGCTAGGTAGCATTTTCGAGCCAACCAGTTTTTATCAGTCAGCCGACATTGTCGTCGGGATTCAAAGGCCTTCCAGTCTGCTGGATCGAGCGCTTTTACTGTTTTCTAAGTACGTATTTAGTTACTGTGCATTATCATCGAAATTATCGGCCATTTTTATTCATAACTCTACGGTGCACCGAATTATTACACAACTCTTTGGTGTTGGGAGTTTAATAGTTAATTTTGGGTCATGAGTAAGTGAAATTTATGGGAATTTGTGAAATTAAAATTTGCGGTATTTTTTTTCACAATGGATAACAAAGAAACAAAGGAAGACAATCTACAAAGAAATTTGTTGGAATTTTTCTAATGTCATTTTTACAATCTTGCGCAATTTGGTATCATAAACTTTTCAATTGCTTCGATTGTTTGTGTTTAATGCAATCATTATCGTTGAAATTGTGGGAAAGGCAGTTGCGTTGTTCTATTTAACAATTTATTTCTTGTATTTGAGTATTGAATAACCGAAATGGCGAGCAAATAACAATCTCGTTGAATCATTCATACAAATTTCTCGAATTAAAAATGTATTTGGTCTTTGCTTTGCACTGAAAATTCGTCGAAACAGAATTTTTAGGCTTGATAATCCCGATATTTAATTGATTATCCTATTTGGTCCTTAATAGTTATTAAATTGTAACTCTTTGTTGCTGGCTGCTTAATGTTTAATTTAATTAATGTTAATTTTGTTATGAATAAGTCAATTTCACGGAACTTTGTGTATTTAAAATTTACGTAATTTTGTTCTCCCATTGGATAATAAAGAAACAAAAGAGGAAAATTTACAACGAAATATTTTCATAAGTCATATTTACCCTCTTGCGTAATTTGGTATCATAAACTTTTGATTTGCATCTGTATAATGAAATTGAGGCTATTCGTTAGAGCACTTTCATAAACAATGCAGTTGCGTTATTCTATTTAAGAATTCATTTCTTGTCTTTCAATATTGAATAGCCGAAACGACGAATGAATATCAATTTTGTTGAATCATTCATCCAAATTTCTTAAAACAGAATTTCAGACTTGATAGTCATCAATGGAGACTTGTTTGATATTTTCCTTTGTCCAACACCCTACACACGCCTATTTAATTGATAATTCTATCTAGTCCTTATTGAATATTAAATTCGCAACCATTTCGTGTTAACAATTTAATATTTAATTTTATGTTATAAATAAGTAAAATTCACAGATTTGTGAACCTGAAATTTGCGTAATTTGTTCTCCGCTTGGATAATAAAGAAATAAAAGAGGAGAATTATCAAGAAAAATGATCATGAAATGATGAAAAATTTCAACAAAAATCATTTCATTCCCCAAATCAAGTCATTTTTATACTTTTGCGCAATTAGGTATCACAAACTTTTAAATTATTTCAGTTTAATGAACTCATTACCGCTGAACCTCTGGGAACGGCTGTTAATTAGATCACTCTCGTAAAGAATGCAGTTGTCACGGGTGTGCGCCCTTCTCCTCGGCTGCTTCCTTGCACTTGGCCACGTGACAGCGGCCCCAAGTCCTCAGGAGCCAGCGTTTGAACTGCCGGTGCAATTGGTCGGGTTTCCCGTGATAATAGCCGCTGTGAGGATAACGAATTTCGTCAAGAAACTCGCCTACTCTGTTAATCCACGTAAGTCCGGTATCTCAGTTGAGGTGTTACGTTAGCAGGCGATGAGCAACGGTAGGAAACAACAGTTTCCACGGTACATGTAACATGTTGAGGCGAAAGGGAAAGCCTGAGTGTTATCGTGTTGCGGAAGTCGAGGATTTTTAGTCGATGGCCAGATTAAAGTGATATGTTTTTTTTACATTAGAAATGTGATCTATATATTGATCGACTGATGCATAGATCCAATTGATCGGTTATTTTTTTAAAGACGTATGGGGCAATACGGGTCACATTTTTCTTCATTTTGGATGAAATTTTTTGATTCGTCGGATGCAAAAAAAACGACTTACTTTGCTCAACTAGAACCAGAGTTGTAAGAAACGATGCGCGGATGATCTATAGATCGATGAATGATCGAAGAAAATTGATGAATTATTTTCTGTTTAGGGAAGTGCTGCGGAAGTTGAGGAATTTTAGTCGGTGATCAGATTGAAGTGATATTTTTGGGTATTGGAAATGTGATCGATCGATCCATGGAAATTGATTGGGGATTTTTTCTAAACGTGTGGGACAAAACGGGTCCCATTTTTCTTCGTTTTGGAAGACATTTTTTGATTTGTCGGATGAAAAAAACGACTTATTTTACGCAGATAGAACCGGAGTTATAAGAAATGATACACACCTGATCTATAGATCGATGAATGATTGAAGAAAATTAATGATTTTTGTTGTGTTTAAGAGTAGTGGGCCACAACGGGTATTTTTTTTATCGATTTTATGAAAGATTCTAGCTTTATATAATCCGAGTTCTAACAGAATGTGCGAAAATGATTAAAAAATCGATGACTGATCTATAAAAATTGATTGAGGATTTTTCTCAACGATTTGAGATAAAATAGGGTTTATTCATTTATTTTAGGAGAAATTTTTCCATCCATTGGATGTGAAAAAGATTTTTTTCTTATTTTGAAACGATGTATAAGGGATCTACAGATCGATGAATGATCTATGAAAATTGATAAAGGATTTTTTCTATAAAAATCCTGGAACGGATCAGCTTATTCATGATTTCGTAGGAAAGTTTATCCTCGCAGAATCCCGATTCTAGTGGAAAATATAACAATGATCCAGAGATCGATGAGGGATCTACGGAAATCGATTTTCGATGTCGAGACTGATGAATGATCTAAAAAAAATCAATTGAAATTTTCTTGAAAACTATTGGAGTAAAATGAATCTTTTTTTTCGTCTTATGGGAAATTATAGAGACTTATACTAGTATAAGTTACATTTATATTTGAGACGTTTTATTACAGAGACTTATACTAGTCGTCTCAAGAGAGCTCTTCCTGAACCGAATCAAGAAATATTCGATGTAGCACAAGTGGAGAAGAAATTAGTCGCTGAAATGGGTGAGAATGTCTGTATTTATGAAAAAATATGCGCTAGACATGCAGAAATCACACTGAAACAGGGTCAGATCCAGGAGAACCTCGATTGGGAAGAAATTTTCAGGTAAATGAAATATCTAAACATAACATTCATTATCTAGATATGCCATTGTAGCCTTCTGAAGCGTAATCAGACAGCAGAACATCGACCAGTTCCGCCGCGTCTGACCCCTCCCGTAACCAATCTACTGACAGTCTGAAATAGTAAGGAGATGACGTTATTTCGTTCCTCCGAACTCATTGGGATAGAGTGCAAGTAACGGTTATATTTCAGAAATATCTGCGGTTTTTTCTCGGCATGAACTTTGGATATATTCAATAAACATTAAGTATTCTTAATAATTTTCTCCTTTCCTCACGCGCGAGAAAATTTTATAGATAAACCTCGCGAATTCGCTAAAGACTTCTGTGGGATTTTTATTGCACTTTCGGTTAGTTTTCGGTTAAATTCTATTGGGAAATTCCATAACTTTTTTGCATTTTTTTTTCTCTAGAAAAAATGAATGGAATTCGATTTTTAACAATTTATTCTATTGCAATATTCAACTTTTTCTAGAAATTGCTCGGCTCAAATCGTGAAAGTTTATTCATTTAATTTTTTTTAATGGAAAGAGGAGAAAAAGTGACAAAAACTTAGAGAATTAATGACGAAGAATTCCTATAGAAAATGTCTCAATGGAAAAAATTATATAGAAAGTTGAAATTTCGCTTTTTTCGATAAAATAATTGCTATAGAATATTTTGTATAAAAAAAAATGCGCAGTAGAGCAGCAAAATTCTTCGATAGAATGGACCAAAAATTAATAGAAATTCAATAGAATTTCAAAAAAATAGAATAGAATAGAATTTTTCCAATGGAATAGATTTTTTTCTATCCAACTTGCGAGGTTTTTCCCGAAAATTTTATCGTTTCTGCTGACACCTGAAACAATGATTTTATGAGCCAAACAATTCTCTCAAACGATTCCTCCTCAAGAGATAATGTCTTGGCTCAAGAAATGCAGACGAAAACAATTCTACGAGCAAAGTTCAATTGTTTCCCCATCCACAATTTTCTCATACATGTTAAATATCTCCCTCCTGACAACACCACGAGATCTCTCTCCATAATGACACCCCACTCTTTCGAAACATTCTCCTTGCATCATCGATCCACCATTACCGGTAAACTCGGCAATAGGAGCAGTTCACCAAGTTCACAGGGCAGTGTAAAGCACCCCGAGTGCGCTATTACATGCTACAGGTGATTTCTATAGACTATCACGCCCTGTTAGGAAACATTGTAGTTGGACGTGATACGATGAGTATAGAATCAATGAGGTATGAAGGCACCTCCGTCAATTTATCTCTCTAGGATCCTCTAATTACTCAAAGAGAATTTACATCAAAAGGATCTTTTGGGTTGAAAAGCGGATTATTACGTACTATCAGGGCTCTTGTTATCAGCATTAGCCATTCAGGGGTATTTTAATCTCTTGGGGGTGCTTTAACCCAAAATTTTGGCGATGGCGAGTCAATCTTGGGCGGAGATTCTTGGATTTCTAGTCAATTTTCTAACAACATTTGACCGATTGTATTGGAAAATTCAGCAGTTCATCGGTGCACTTTTTTCAATAGAAATATTCAATGGAAAAAATAAAATTTCATTTTTCTATATAGCCTATTCTATTCACATATTCTTTATAGAAATTCCTCTGCGGAAATTTCACAAGTTTTTGGTCAGATTTTTTCAATGAAAAATATGAATTAATAAAAATACATTTTTAATGAAACTCACTCATTTATTCATTCATTATAAAATAATAAAAATAATAATAATAATTATATTAATAATTCATTGATTCATTAATTATAAATTAAAACAAGTGGGAAATTGTTATTATATTAATATAGTATAGTTTTTTTGCTAATAAATTAGCAATACGTTAATTTCGAATGGTCATTTTGCACATCATCTGCTTCTATCGTATATAATTCATTATTGCATCTTATTTGATTAAATTCAATGAAATTTCTTCTTTAATCAATTGTGTTATATTTTTAATTTAGTTTAATATTTGATGAAATTTCAATTATGAAATAATACATATCTATACCATGGATTTGTTCGATGAGAGTGAAGTCGAAGTAGGTCGTTTTAATGATAATTAAATCAATTTGGACCGTTTTTTTTATTCAAATAATCAGTGGAAGTAAATTTTCCAAAAATGGAAAATCAACAAACTTTTGAATGCTGTGAGAATAATTTCCGAAATTCTTTTGTAAATCGAATGGAAGAATGATGCTATCTATATTATGGAATGAATTTGAAACATCATATTTGAAGAAACCATCAGAAAGTTCACTTTCACAGCAATTTACGAAAAATTCTAAATTTACAAAAATCATCATAAAAATCAAACCAACGAATACAGGTATCGTAACGATTTTTCAACTTCGACAGAGTGGCTGTGAAACTAATATTTTCAGCTATCATCGAATGAATTTAGAGCATGATATCCAAAGATATCCTCGGAATTCTAATTTTTATAAAATACAAACATTTCTGAAAATTACTCTAAAAATCGAAACAACGATTGCAGCTATCGTCTTCATCTTCAAACTCGGTCGAAGAGACATCCAAAGAACTTTTTAAGCCATCATTCAATGAATTCAACCCATTTTTCTAGTTATGGTGGGACAACCGATTAAAAACAAAAATTCAAAAGTATAATATATGGATTAAATTTTCGAACCGTCCAAAAATCATAATAATTAAAATAGAATTTCCTACGAAATTCGCTAGGTTTTTCTACTGAAGTTTTTTTTACCAACGAATTACCTCAGACAAATATATTCTCTCGACCTTATTTAGGATGTAAAGCTTACACTAAATTCCCCTGTAATGCGACGGCCGACGATAGTCTTAATGGCCTGTCGCACGTGCCCTAATGCATCTCCCTGATAACTCCACAGTTTCTTGTCAACCACTCGAACCAGTCTATTCAGCTACCGTTTCTTTCACGGCCCAAAGTGCCTTTATCTCGATCCCCCGATGGGACATGTCAAAGCTCATCAAACCCATGATTTTTTAATTTCCCAGTCAGTACAAGGCGTCACCGGATCCCATGAAGGAGAACTACTTGCTGAGTGTCTTCTTGGGGGACATTGTTGGTAGCCCGAGGTTGTGTCATCAGCTTGCTAAACGCCGAGCCTGTGGGCAGACACTCGCCGACTGAAGGGAAAGTGATGACACGCGGTGATGATGTGAGTCTTCCTGAGGACTCATTCTGTTCGAAGTATTTTAAAGGTCTAGGATTAATGATTAATGATTCACCCTGTGTTGGTAGGTTTTCGTGCAGCTCTCTAGGTGATAGATGGAGACACTTCCGTGAATGTGCTATAGACAGAACAGATGTAAATAATCTGCGGAGAATTATTTTAGATTGAATTTTGTAGTGATATAACTCAGGTGTGTTATGTGTTGATGTTTAATATGACGTTATGGTGAAATAAATGTGACTTTCTTGTTGAATCGATTGTGATTATCAATTTATTCACATTTTTTAAAAATTTATTCACATTCTTATGTAAAATTTTATTTTAAAGCTTGAGGTATGTTTGGTCGGAGAGGTTTCAGGAGATTTTGGGAATAAACTCTTCTGAAAATGTTGGAAAAATTCAAGGGAAATGTGGATTTGAATTCGATACCACGATGAAAGTGCTTGAAAATTATTTGAATAATTGATATTGATTTCAATAATAGTTTTTGAGTGTGATTAAATGAATTCGATTTTTAGTTGAATCAACATTTATTATGAATTTGTATTCATTCTGTTGTGAAATGGCAATACAAGTTGAATTCGGTGACCTTTAGTAGATGTTTGGGATGATAAATGCTTGAACTCCCTAGAAATTCAATGAACAGGTGAAGTTCAACTTGAGAAAATTTTATTTTGTTGCATAACCACCAGTTTTTATGGCGCTTTGACAAGTGCTGTCTCAATTCGGAGTTGACATAATCAAGACGCTGAATCAAACTTCAATCTATCCCTGCCTAAATTATATTCCGTAACTCATTCTGACATTCTCAGTCTTCAAATTTTCTATTGACATTCCGTGAGAAATTACATCTCTGTGAGTCAATCATAGGAATTGGTCAGACTTCGATTCATTCAGAATTTGGTTAAACTAATGACAAATTTTGGAGAATTATCCCGAGATGAGCAAATTAAATTTTCACCAATCCGTTTCAAAATAGTAGGTTTCCTAAATTTATTTTAACATTCTTCTGAATATTTTTAACATTTTTAAATGGAGAATGGAGTTGAACCTTTAAAAAAATGAATAAGAACTTCATCATAAAATTACCCTCATTTTTTATAACAAATGTAAAGAAAATAGTCGAATGTTCTTAAATTTCTCACGACAAATTGTAAAATTCCCGTCAAGGAAACTCTATTCTTGCCAATAAATAATGGTTTCATCAACAATTTGACTGAAGATAAAATATTTCATCTGAATTCTGAGTATTAAATAATATCATCGCAAAATTTCCCCAAAGTTTGATTACAAATATAAAGAATTTAATGAAAAAAATAGTCGAGTGCTTTTAAATTTCTTACGATAAATTGGAAAATTCGTCTAAAGAAAACTCTGTTCTGTGAATAAATACCGGTTTCATAGACAATTTGACTCAAGATGAAACATTTCATCTGCATTCCAAATTGGAATAGTCAAGACTCTCAACCAAACTCCAATAAATCCCTCCCAAAACAATATTTCGTAACACATTCTGACCTTTTCAATCTTCAAAGTTTCTAGTGACATTCGGGGAGAAATTACATGCTGCAACATGGGATTTTCCCTGAAATCATTAAATTTGTCACACTTCGATTCCTGGAAACATTTTGAATATGCACAAACTTAT